GTTGCAAAACATTCTTGACAGTGAAAAGTTTTGGGTTTTGTTTGTTTGTTGTTTTGTTTTGTTTTTTTAAAAAACAAGCTTTGATCTTGCAGTCCTGACAGAAATAGGGAAATATTTAACAAAACTACTTTTACTTCAGTGACTAAACTATACAATATGACACCAAAGCTCAGTAAACATTTTGAATAACTTTGAACATCAGAGCACCTGTTTTAAACAGTTGTTGGTATTTGTCCCCGAGATGCTCATCATCTGAATTAATCTCTGCTCATTGCACAGACGACAGGAGACTTCCACATGCTTCTACTTTTCAGCAAAGTTGTATGCAGTTTTTCTTGAAGTACTAACCGTGGCAGGTAGAATAAATTAAGTTTTAGAAAAGAGTCTCTTGCAACAATCGTTTGCAGACATATCAACATTGTTAAAACACTGGAAATCAGAAATGCCCTATCAAAAGAAGTGACAGAAAAAAATCTACCAGGCGATGCACCATGAACAAGGGGAACCCTATCACTCCAGGACTATTTATCATGACTCTGCCAAGCACTGCCTTTGGCCATGTCAGGAATTAAGTTGGTAACTTTTTATTAAAACCTCTAAGTAGTCAATCTAAAAATCATGCACAGAAACACAGTGCTAGTGAAAGAAGATTCTCTTGCAAAAAAAATTAAAAATAGAAATTAACTATTTTTGATAAATCAAGGTAAAAAAACCCTGAAGCTATTATTCACCTAGAAAGCTGTAACCACTTCAGCAAATCAGAATGAAAACAAATTAAACTGACACAACCTCAGAAGATTAGTTATCACTGTACTCTAATCCAATCAGGTGTGTTTCCTAATTTTACTCAAATGAAAGCCATAACACACTTGCACCAGCTCCTGCAAAGGAAACCGCAATAAGAGGAGACTGGTAATCAGCACCACAAATAATAAAATTCCCATGTAATAAACAGTTCGGTTGTTTGGGTTTTTTAACATTAAATTTGGGGAAAGTTTAAAAAAAAAAACCTATTTGAACATTCCAAACTATCTGCTATCCATTGATCAAAAGCCCTTGCATTTCACTGTACCATTTCACAGCTCAATTCCTTTCATCGTGCCATACTGACCAAGAAACATTAATGAAAAGTGGAAGCAAACCAATGCTCTCCTACGGACTGAAAGAAACTCAAACATACGTGTTTTGAGAGTGAAGGATATAAACATTACAAAACCACCTATTATTTATCAAAAGCTTAAATAGAAACAAGAAATACTAGTTTGTATTGTGCACCACAAAAAACCATCAAGCTGTATTTGGTTAAATACAACAAAAGCAGCTCTAAGCTATTTATTCACCACCTTTCAATACCCAAAAGATGGACCAATAGGTTCTCCTCTTTGATGCTCTACTACAGAAGCAGAGAGTAGGGAAGCAATGCCTTCTTTCATTTGGGATTTTAAAACATTCACAAATCTTCTCTGCATTTTTAGAGAACATACAAACTGCTTTTAATATAAATAGCATGCAATCAACAGAGCGGTCATGGTTTTGTGCTTAAGCACTGTACCCAAGCCATAAGTATGTATCCCGATTTTAAGTAAAAGTGTTAGAAAGTTCAACCTTGCCATGTAGAATTCAGGGAAGGGGGAAGGAAGACGACAATCAAGTCATTCTGTGCAGATGTTGTACTAAGTCAATCAGATATTAGGATAAGAGTTAATCACATCTGAATAAAAAACAGTAACTTAAAACCATATGGACCATGAGAGAAGCCAGAATCCAATACAGCTTCTCTTCAATCTGGTTCTAGTTTTGCAACAAACAGAACAGAAACAGACCAACCTGCCTAAAATAAAACACAAAAACCATCAATTGAAGCAATGAAACAGAAGATTCTTTTTGAGAAACATTTAGATACCAGATGGAAATTTGTTAATCAAGTGGAAATAAATATACATAAGAGCCCAAATTAATCACTGGTTAATACTTGATAATGGAACTAGAGCGACCAATGCTACAGTCAGACCTCTCAAGGATCTATAAAAACTCATCTCAAGGGAATAAAATGTCAACATCTTTACCTGGGCTGAAACACAGTCAGCATTCAAACTTGATAATTAGTAAAATTATCATTTAAGACCACACTTTATTCATGAGGAGAGATACTCCTTTAATTAGAATTAAGGAAAACAAGCTACTCTTTACAAAGACTAAAAGAATGGACAATAGTTGTCACTGATTCTCCAAAGATAAGCTACCAATTGAAACAGAACAAGAAAACTTGATTTTATTTTTCATCCATTGTTTACAAGATAGTTTTATAACTGTTTATTATGTCAGGTTTCATACCTAAATGTGTATGTGATAGCAAGATCCTCATTTCAGTACCTTGAAAAAAATACAGTCAAAATTTGCAGCCATGTTTGCAACCACAGTCAGCTCACCATTGTTTCTAAAATTTGGCAGCAATCTGTTTTGTCCAAGTGTAGGGTTAATCCCTGCCTTACTCAGGGCAACTTTCAAAACACACTGATAAATTAGTATTTGCTAAGTATCAGTTGTACCTTGCAGTCACAATTTAAAAAGAAGAAAAAAAAAAATCTCAGACTTCCAACATTTTTGTGATTCCTTTCTGCTGCCAGGTGGAACGTCTGGTGGATTCAGAAGAGCAGCAGCTTCCCACAGAACTTAGCACAGATGACTAAATGCTTTCAATGGCATAGCAAACCTCTCCTATTTAAAGACTTCACTTTCAACTCTGCATTACAGTTCACTACCACATGAGTACAGGCCAAATGTTAGGAATTTGCATTAGGAATGAAAGCACACACAAACTCTTGGAACCTACCAATGAACTGCTGCAGCAGAAGTGGTATAATGTGACATTTTACCTTGAGAGGCAGACTTGTATTTTTCAGCTTAATTGTGAGCTACTTGGAAAGTAGAAAGGGCTAAGAAATAATCAGTCTCGTAAAGTTCACGCTACTACTTAGAGAATTCATCAGCAGAAACACTACTGTTTCGGCTCATACCTATATGAAGACAGTCATCTGTTAACAGGCAGAATCGATTTTTTTTTAAGCTTACATTTTACAGTAACCAATTTCTTTGTTGGGCATCTAAAATACTGTAATATACCCATTGGCTCCCAAAAATCTAACCATTGATAACACAACAGCTCTAACAGCAGTCTGAAGGTAGCACTAAGATACAGGACCTACAAACACAGCAAAGCAAGAGCTGGCAAACTTCAACCCCTCAATTTAAGGAGGAAAGCAGAACTGAGATCTTGTATAAACTACAGAAATTACTCTAATATAAAACTACAAACTTCCTCCAGTCACACTTTAATAGAATGAGCCCAATCCTCTCAGAGCAAGCTGGGCATGTGTTGGCATTGCTTGCTGGGTCAGGCTTCTCAAAAGACTGAAATGAAGAAACTCCTTGTTTCTACATCTATGTAGATCTTAAACACGTCCCAAATGCCTGTCAAGACAGGAGCACTTCCAGGCAGATGTTAAAGCACTTTTTCAGAGCTCTAGAAGGCTTTAAACAAAAAAAAATATAATCAACTAAACATTAAGTGAAACAGAGAAAACTGAAGGACAAACATTAACTAGGCTTAGACATAGCATTTTAAGGGAGGAAAACCTTATTTACATCATCCATATGCATAACACTGGCATTTAATAATTTCTTCTGCATACAGCATGTGAAAACTATTTCTTTACATAAACCCATATTCTTTCCATTCAAGCAAAATTCCTATTTTTGTAAATTTTTTTTTTTTTTTTGAGAGTCCTGGAAAACGAACCCAGAATCTGGTTTGCTCATCAAACAGACAGAACACATGCTGTGAAAGGGTAACTTCCTCCTACACCCTTCTTCCCCATGCTCTTAACTTGACTTGGGCAGACCAATGTCAAAAGCTGTTTGGACTACATGACTGACCAATCCCTGGATCCTCGAAAAGCCAATTATCTAAATTAGTAACAACTCCTGTCACTATTTTTGAAGCTGGCACGTATCCCCAAGATAGGCATTAAATACTCATTTCACATAAGCCATGTTCATCTACACAACCCCAGAGCCAAGAGCAGAAAATGTTCATCATTCTTTTCTCTTGCCCTGCTGCAACAATTTAAGCTTTTTAAAGCTCTCTTTCAGGACACGTTTTGCAAGGTCCTACTTTAAGAAACACGCAACAGCAAAAGGAGCTCATTGTTTCTGTGGACAGAAGAAGCAACAGAGGCCTAGGGATGGCAAACAGTCGTAGCAAGGAGCCAGAGGCAGCAGCTCTGCTCAGAATTTCCTAGAAGCCAAGGGTTCCCTGTTCCCACTGGCCATGCCGCCTTGCCAGAGCCTTCTCATTGCTGCTCCAGCCCTTTGGATGCCACCTACTTCAGCACCTCCTCCTGGCAGAAACCCCAGCTCTACTTCCACCTGTCAACACTTTTTCTTTCCACCCTGCTATCTTACCCAGTTTGCTAAGCTGTTTGGTTGCCAAAAGAGAAAGATGTCTGTGTTGCACGAGCTTGTGTGAAATCCCAGATGCATCACAGAACACCAGCAGTTTCTTGGTAAACACTAGCCTAGGCTACTGCCAAATTCAGTTAAAGCTTTGGATCACCTGGGTTACCTCTCAGTGCAGACAGTGGTGGGGAAGTCTTGAACAAAAGGGGTTTTGCACCCTGCAAGCTCAAACTGCAACCAGTGCAGCATCTCCTGCTCAAGATGGAGATTCTCAATGGCGAAGCAATGGCTAACACACAATCCAGCTGAATAAACCCCTAAATCTAGAAGGATGATGAAGGTTTGTGCAGCCTTTTAACAACTGAAGCCACCCAGCAAATCACACTGTAGCTGTCAGTAGAACACATGGTGAGGCCACGAAAATAACGCAAACCATCGACAAACCCTTCCCCTTCACCTCTCAGCAGGTTAGTTGTGCAGAGGCTGGACTTATTAGGATTAAACAGAGATACAGAAATACCTTGTCCCCAATATCCATTTACCTTGTCCTGAGGGCCTGCCAGGCTGCATCAATGTCTGCGTACAGGTTTTTCTCAGAGGGCTTGCCGGTGCTCACCCCATAGCCAGAGTAGTCATAAGAGAAGACGTTGCAGTTGATGCGAGAACCAAGGCCAATGTAGAAGCTGCACATCTGGCCCAGGTCCACAGCATTACCGTGTGAGAAGAGCAGCGTGTACCGGCCAGTGGGGGCACAACGTACGAACATGCAGCCCAGCCTGTTATCTCGAGCCGTGCGGGAGAAGAACACTTCCACGGCATCCAGTTCCCGCTGTGAGTACTGCCAGTCCGCCCGCTCGCTCAAGTGCAGGCTGCAGGTGCCTGATCCCGTCGGGGTCCCTGCCCCGGCTGCCGCCCCGGCCTCCTGCTGCTGCTCGGGCTGCAGCACGGTGTAGGTGGGCTCCGGGGGCAGGAAGGCCAGCTTGGCAGCGATGCGGCTGGGGCAAGGCGGGCAGCAGAACAGCCAGCAGAGCTCGCCCAGAGAGAAACCGTTCATTCTGGGGCCTTGTTCTGGCATCAGAGACACTGGAGAAAAACTAACCTATCCTGGAAAGAAGTCAAACCAAACCGACCCAGATCCCTCCTCCAACGCAACCTGCACACCTTCCTGCAAGGGTACCAGCTGCCCTCCCAAAACGCAAACAACGACAACCTTGGAGGAACTACAGTTCAGAAAAAATAGTGCGGGTCTTCAAAGCCTGAAAACGTGCTTCTAGAAAAAAAAAAAAAAAAACAACCCCCACAAGACACAAACGAAGTACAACCAGCCCTTAAAAATCCCACAACTAATGCTACAGTCAATGCAACTCTCTAAACGACCACCCTACACCCCCTCAAAGAAAAAGACATCGCACGTACATGTACACAGTTATAAAATGAATCCCCAGATCCTACGGCTCAGTGCAGCGCTCCAGCGTTAAAAGCAGAGGCCCCCCGCGCTGGAGCCGGCCCCC